TATGCACAGGTTGGATACTTTGGAGTAGGTGTTCCGTAACGACAGGGGAGGTCTCGATGGTCTCACGCGTGCTACGATGTCTCACACGCGAAGGTAAGCTCGATACGCCAAGTCAGCGACGCTAATGTTACGAGGAGATTATGATAACCAAAATGCTGGTTGCCTCCATAAATTTCAATATGTCAGACAGAGCCATTTGCACCTGAAACTTTTCCCTCACACTGAGAGAAATATTGAATAAAAATTATGAAAGAGTTACGCACTTTTTCATTGAAGTTGAATAAAATGTAACTCATCTGCGATATTTGCATGATTAAAATTTCAATCCCCCGAAATAGTGGTAATTGAAATAATGAAAGTAAAATACGCGTCGATTCAGAGAAACAGCAATCACGATGATATTAATTCCTCACCGCTAAGACGCGAAACACGCTATTTTAGATAGGGAAGAATGCCACGAATGTTAATCCAAATGGAAGCAGTTAATTGCAATGGCAAGACCATCTATCTAAATGGCAATCATAAGGGCAAAAGTGCGCATTAATGTTCTTCACGGCCCTGGATTTTGATAATAATTCAGATTGCATCGGCTCGCTCCTCGCTCTCCTCACTCCTGTATTTCCCCTCTCCCCTCTCCCTACAACTTGGAAAAAACGCAACTTGAGTTTTCTTCACGCTTTGCTTCACTTGCCCCATCGTCGCAGGATGCACTGGTGAAACAGGAAAAATTCCCCTGACCGAGCGTTTTCCTTATTTACATATCAATTTCACCGGTTGTTAACGACTTTTCTCGGGTTTTTGGAAAAAAACGGGGAGATAATCGGTTTGAGCAATTCGTACGACACTAGAGCGAAAGGAAACTGACGCGAGTTCACACGAAATTTGACGCACGCACGCAATATCTCCCACAATTGCGCGAGCCCTCAATTACAAATCGTTTTCCCTGAATATGATCGGCAAGAAATGGAGAGACGGGTTGCACTTAATCGCAATTGCAAGAGCAATTCCCAGAAAAATCATTTCGAACAAATGACTTGAGGCGATTGCTATCAGACCTTCCGGAGACGTGCGTATGTAATTAAAAATAAAAATGAGTCGATGGTACTAGCGGAGGCATTCGCCTCGATGTTTGTAATTAATTACTCTCCCCGGATAGGACTGAAAATTCTTGATGTATTAATCGCGGCTTCGATTATCGCCCCATCATGTTCACTTTCGTTTATCTCAGAACAAACTTGAACTTCCTCTGAGAAATTTTTCTCAGGGGCCCGCTATCACCCCAGCAAGAGCGATTTTTTCCGGTTTCCAACCTTTCGCCGAATGACATTTTTATCCCCAAAACGTCCGACTCGAAAGCCAGAGATCATGAAGATAACGGACGAGTCAGCGGAGGAATGAGAGCTCCGAGGTTGTAACCCGGGGCCAGATATGGTTTTAGATGAGAAAGACCCATGGACCTGTTCTCCGTGTTAACAACCGAAACTCATAAAGACGTTAAGTGGGCCTTTTGAGAAAACCAGGAGATTCCTTCGGTTGTCTGCCCAGCGTTTGGACACACTCGAGGACCATATAGTTCTCGAGTTTTATTTTTATCGGTTTATTTGTATACCTCCGGGGGAAGAAGAAAAAAAAAATTTTGAATTAAAGTGTTGTAAATTTCCAGCCTCCTGACTCGAATGAAGACATTTTTAAAACGAGTTCTTACCCGGCCCATTGTAAAATTCTGGTCTCAATATTCAATTTTATTCAGAGTCGGAGAGAAGTTGAAAACAGAAAATAATTCGCACGAAAAAGCCGGGGAAAAACAAGAACAAGAACTCCATTTATGCGAACCGAGGAAAAAGTTTAGGAGAAATTGCGGGACAAGTCACGTAATCGGGAGGCGGATTTTTATTTCCATCATTTTTCCGGAAATTCAAAAAAAATTTATATGGCGAAAGATTTTTTTTTCCTTTCGTAAATTTCGGTAATTTGGAATGTCATTTTTGCCAACGGCCAGTATTTCTGAATTTTTAAAGAATAAATCGAAAATTTTCAATTTTCAAGATTTTTCAATCTTCAACGCCTGATGTCTATCGCCAGAACAATGATACATAAAAAAAGAAAAAACATCATTCTGATGGTAATTTTAGTGAAATTTTTCTCTCCATGTAAAACAAACTGATTTTAATTTCCGGAAACACCGGTATTTTCGTCATGGAATTGTCTGGAGGTTTTTTATAGAAATAAATCTATCACGGATTTGAGATATGTCACTGCGGGGTAGATCAAAGGAATTGAACAAGATAGAGAGATACTGAAATTTGGTCATCTGTTTCCCGAGTGACAGCTTCACTTCTCTCATTCGTGGAACCTTGTTCAGAGGACAACACTAAAACTGACCTGTCGATGGAAAAGTGGGGAGATTTGTCCAGGAAGTCCTATTCCATTTCACTTCAATTTTTAATACCTGCACTGATGAACAATTACGCGACAGGTTTTCCATCGGCCAACAAATATTAACTTGAAATTCCACTCAATCATATTACCGAGAATAAATAAATTATATGAGTTTGCACAACGGCACAGAATTAATTCTTGATATTCATTCATTATTACCAGTATTTTTACTACAAAAAAAGAAAAAACTTCCTGTACATAATCCTTGCAACTGAATAAATCAGCCATTATAATATTCAATAACCAATTAATTGAGTTACCCTAACCAAAAAAAATTGGAATCATAAATCGAAACGATTCCAAATTTCCATTTCAAAGCAAAAAAATGTGGGAAATCAACGGACACGGCCTACTCATTAAAATGAAAAAGTTTTTCGCTAAACACAAGATCGCACGATCATTATTGCAGGCTCTGATTTACACAATAAAATCCACCAACACAGAAACATCAATAAGAGAGGAATAATGAAGAGAAAAAATCACCCCACTGTTCAATTGCTATGAAAATAAGAGGCGTTTCAGGGGGTTCTCCATGACGATACCGTCGATTTCCCAGGGTGTTGTTGCAACTAGAGTTTTAACGTGTCTGGGCCCCTGACTAGTGTCAAATAAATTCGTGGTTCCACGGCTGAATGGTGTACCAAGTACGATATGGGTGTGTTTAACGCTGTTGGGGGCCAAGTGCAACAATATTACCGATCCCTGAGGCACGTCAAAGTCAACTCGCACGCTGCGCCCGTTTCAGGCGTTGTTACTGTGTGAATTTCAACGGGAGATCTTCCACTAGCTCTTTATACGCTTTCAACAATTTAAAAAAAAATTGTGAAAAGGAAATCGTAATTAGCATTGGGATGATTTCGTTATTACCGAACGCAGTGTATCCGCGATTCTGTTACACTGAGAAAAATTCACAGAATATGAGAAGAAATATTTTTTCTCGTATTGGGAAATTTTTTGGGTTTGCATAACTGGAAAATTTTTTTTTAAGAGTAAGAAATATTTTTTTCGCGTTGGCCTAATACGGTGCCCACAATATTGTGGAGCAATGACTCGAAAAATCCGGGAATGCCGAAGGATTCACCGGAGGACCATCGACTTTTATATTTTCTCTGTGTACGCAGTACGTTCCCATACCGCACGCTTCTCCACCTCATTCTCATCCTTCCAGCACATCTCTCCTCATGGCCCTCCTTATCTCCCCCGCCTAATCTGCTGCCGGTGGCAATTAAATCCGAGGTGTCCCATAGTCCAATGGAAACCTATCGATTCGACGAGTTTCGGGGATATATGTACCCCGCGAGGGACCATATCGCTCAATCTGGGAATCCCAGGGAACAGGAGGTACCTCGAAAGACTCGAGTGTACCATATGGGGAGTTGATAAAATTTTTTTTTTTTCATCATTTTATTTTTTTCACCCAAATCACCGAGAGAAATCACGGGAGGTTAAGGACAACTCCCGTCGATCCGGCAATTTTTTTTCTTCACCCATTCCGCTTGTGGGGCGCAAAAAAAAAATTGATTATAAGTCTAGTATCGACAAGACATGAGGATCTCGAAAGAATGAGAATCCATAATTATTGAGTGCCGGTCTCCTCCATCCCCCATGATCGTTACTTTTTTCCGATAATTGTTTTTTTTTTTATCCTACCCACCTCTGGTTTTTCATTCTCTCGTTCTACCTCTGTCTCGACGAGAGGGCGAGAGAAAAAAATCGTCCACTCGCAGCCTAGCATTATCGCCTTGAATCAACAAAGCCCCAAGCCACTCGTTCGCCACTCGAAAACCCCCTTTAGATGGAAAAGAGAGAGAGAGAGAGAAAAATCGGCTGGAGGCAGAACGCCGAAGGGATTCTAATAGAGGGTCTTCGCTTAATGACCGACATCTCTTCCCAGAGGCACCCAAACCGAATGTCATTGCAGAAGATTCGATAACGTCAGGGGCCCCTGGCATCCTCCTTTTTTTTTCCGCTTCAACTTATAAATCGAGAATTATATTAATTATCCCGGATTATAGATGCACGCGCATGTTTGCGCTCGGTTATTTTCGCGGTGTTCTTTTTACGGTGGTTTTATGCCGGTGAATCAACTCCCCGGTACGCGCCACTGAATCCGAGTGCTCATTATATCGCTACCCCATCGATAATTATATTCATTACGAAATAAAAAGCGGGAGCTCACGGAATTACAGGGGACTGGATACAATCCGATTTTCCCATATCTCCGTTGCATTTCGGAGTCATTATCACTGGTTATCGCCCATAGACCGTACAATCTCCAGTTAAAATTAAATATAAAAATGATTCCGCTAAGTCACCCAAATGAAATCCTATTGATTATTCAATTAATCGAATAAGATAATCTGTTTTATCCCCGGAGCGTCGATAATAAAAATTCCGTCGGTGACTTCAGAAGAGAAGTAAAAAAATAATCAGCTGACAGTAATGTGGTGTTTTTTTTACCCAACTGTTGGTATAGAGGGATGTTATTGTTAATTTTATCAGTAAGTCGGTGAATAAAATTTCTACAGCATCAGCACTCGCCAAATATCTTGAGATGAACGGAGGGCCCTGATTCCATTCAGTCACGCACTCGTATAACGACGACGACGGGAGACACACGTTTTGACGAATCGAGAAAATAGTTTGCTGTAATTGTGACTTGTGCTGGGTGTTCATTGAGAAAGGCTAATCACAACTGAACGATCCGTCCGCAATGGGTGGTAAGTTGTCAATGAATAACTATAAACTTTTCTGTCATTATTCCGATAAAAATTCACGCGTGAACCCCGAATTGATGAAACACCGCCCCTTGTAACCGGTCTTCCATGGCCTTCAGACATAAACGATGCAGAGGGATCATTGAAACGATCAGCGAATTCACTTAAATCGCAAGTGATTCTGCACAACACAATTCCTCAGTTGCATTTGCTCCCGAATATTTTAGACCGCTCCCCACAATTCTTCGTCACTATTTTTTATTTCTCATTCTATCTCTTCTTGTTTACGCGAAATTGAATTTTATGATTCATGATTTCATTTACACGCGTTCCCGCTCATTGCGCGATTAATTCAATGCGCTTGCGCTGACGCGAATGGATGAATTAGCATTCGGATGGGCGAATTCGTGCGCATAAGTCAAGGGCTATTGGAGTCAATGGATTTTTTTTTTCAGTTAATAGATCTTTCAGGCAAAAATGGAAGAGATTATGTAAAAAAAATTATTGGTGTTTTCCCCTCATTCGAATTCCGTGGAGAGCCTGAACCGCAGGATTCGACGGCTTTTTATGTCTCGTGTGTTTCAAGAATTTACACGTTAATTTTAGATAAACGCAGCGAGCGTCTGCAAGAGGCGAGAGCCGGGTATATTTTAAACCCTGGACTTGTCGGGATAAATCAACTCGGGTATTTTTTATAAATAAATTTCGTATGATTGAATCGTGAATCCTACCCGGATGATTATTTTCCGCATCGTCGACGTGTGCGTGGATTAATGAACAGTTAATATGTTGCATGAAACTTATACAACTGACAAATAACAATTGGCACGTGTTGCAAATAAAATACTCTCAGCCGATTATCCGTAACTAATGCCCCGTCCGCAAATGCCGGATTAATCAACTCTCCTATTCAATATTCTATTCCAAAATCTATTCAAGATTAATTCTCCCTTTTCAGCATCACTAAAGAATTGTGCAACAATTCGAATAATCGATGGCTCCACTTAAAAATGTCCCTGAATTTTCCTGACGATGACCCAGAATTTTTTTGACTTTATTTTTTTTTTATTTTATTGAATTCCGGAATTCAATAGCGAAGCGACGCAAAATGACAAGTTGATGAAATTAATGAGCGAGTTTGCGAAGAATATTTCTGAATGTGAGAGAAATTTTTATAGATAGCTCAGTGTGCTTTCAAATTTTCAACCAATTTTTGGAAAGTGTCAAGTGGCGTTTTTTAATGGAGATAGCAATGAATGTTTTAACGATGTATTTTAAAATAATTCTCTACTGTGCGGTAGGGAGTGAAGCGTCTGGCGCATGAAAAAGCCACCCTAACGGAAGTCGCAAACTGACAATAAGAAGTACTTGACTTGGTGACAAAGTGCACGAGTTCGCCTTGCAAATCCTGGAGTGCTATTATGAGAGTACCCATGGATAGCGGTTTGTGCGTAAATATAAACCCTTGGAGTCGACGCCAGGTCGTCGCGACATTCGGCATCTCAAGTTTCCTCTTGGTATCATAATATGTCCATTCTCTGGACAGAATAAAAGAGCCAGTTGTCCTGTTCCCGATGCCTCCAATTACATCAGTGAAAATTCATTAATATTCCACCGACAATTGAACACAATTGAAAATATATCTATCATATATCCCAGATATACTCTGGACCAAAAACGCACTGTCCCATAAATGTCACAATTTCGCATTTTTTTGCGCGCGAATCAATTTTAAAAAACTGCGATTGCTATCCAATATCACAGGAATCGAAGCGAGAACGGGAGGAACGAATTACGAAGAAAGAAAAAGGGTGAATTGTCCATTCGAAATTGGAACACCTTCAGCACTGCATGATTCTAAATATACGTCCCACCAATTTGACCCACGCTAATCTGAACTTATCAAGGTCTTTGTCGTGGAGATGAATCGAGTCTCGCTCTAGTTTTTTTATCATCACATGCGCCGGTTGTAATTCAATCTCACGTACGGAGCTATTGCAGACAACCGTTAGTTTGGCTCATTGTTCGTCGATGGAGGTCTGTCCTTTGCCGGAGTTTCCTCTTCCAACTGGAAGTCCACCTTTTCCCCTAATTAACCCACTCCGATTATAAATCATAGACACGCGCGAAGAAAAATCAACAGCAAAATTTATTCTGACATTGAATAAGTTGCATCTGCCATTGGCAAAGTCGTGAAAGCATTTCGCGAGAGGAATTAATCCTCAATTTTGACCACGGGCATATCACGTGGGTCCCACATAAGCAGATTACTCTGTTATCGCTGATAAGAGGAAGTTTTGGAGAAACTAGTCGACTTTCTTGCGCGAATAGACTCATGATTGAAGTTAGGGGAGGTCAAGAATTCGACAATCCAATGAAGGATTAGGTAATTTCGAGGGAAAATCCCAATCATTTTGAAAACGGACAAAATTCTTCACAGACGAGTGGATATTCCAAGAATGTTCCCCAGGAAATTCGAAGAAAATGTTGTGCACTCAATTTTTCAATCGCAAGTGGCGAAAAATCAGAGAGCACATGTTTAAGAATGTTTTAACTGAAGTAATGCACGTTGTGCTACCGCCAAGAATACGACAGCCTCCTACACATTGTACGTTAATTTACACGTGTCTTATTGCGACTGAAAGACAGTCAAGTTTCAAATGACGCACTCGAGTGGACGGTACATAGTATCGATTAACCGATCAATTGCCCTGCGATTATTCCAATGGATCAACAAAAGCGCAGAGACTTGTCTTCGCGGGGTCTCATTGAATCGCAATGACGAATTCCCACAGACAAATTAAGAGTCAATCGAATTAAAGGGGATCGAGCTGATAAAGTCGAGGTGATGAATCCCCAGGAGGCGGGGAATTAACTAGAGATGTATAAATATATCAAATATTGGATCTCTGCCACATCAACTTCCGCAGCATCCCCTTTCTCCTTTTGAAAATATTCTCATTCTCTTGTTCTCTCTCTAATTTTCAATTTTCCGTTTTAATACGGTTTGAAAATATTTTCGCCGATGAACTGACTGATGTAACAGAGAAAACACAAGTTTTTGCAACGTCAGACGGTTAGACGTGATATATTTAGAATTAGAGATATGAATCGATTAGGAGCCATTGAGTGATTTTTTTTTTCTTTAGGAAGTCAAATTATATAATGACTCGATAGTCGTGGGGAACGCTGAACTCAGTGTTATCTGGACAGTGGCGCAAATATACCGGGACATTGACACTCGAATTTATTAGATTTTTCATGCAGATTTTTAATTTAAGTGAAGATGCGGGGTTAAGAAAGCTGGAGGTTGAAAAAAATTCTATACTGCAGGGAAAACACGTCCTGAATTTTTAAACAAATAGGAAAATTGTTTACGTTGTGATGAAATTTCAGTGGTACCATTCTGGTCGCATGAAGTGAACAATTTTTTTAAGAGTTCCAGTTTTCTTTGCAATTTGATAATTTTATTTGCTTTTTGGAGCGCTTTTTATGATTCATCTATGATTTCAGGGTTTGCATGGGTCACATTGGCCACCAATGACTCGTACTCTCTTGGAGCACTTGTCTTAGCGCATTCGCTGAAACGTGTGGGCACCAAACATGATCTGGCGGTACTCGTCACTCCTGGTGTCACTGGATCCATGAGGTATTGATACAAATTCCGGAATTCTCAGGACCAATTTAAATTTCACGGATTTTTCCTCAGATAAAATTCTATAAAAATTATTTTATAGAAAATTCCGTATTTTTTTCTCGAGTCTAAACGCAAATCCATTCAGATATATATAAAATTTCTCTAATATCAGTTGTGCGTAAAAATTTCAAAGTACTTCGCCAGTGCGCGAAGCAGGGGCTGCCAAGAGCATTAGCCAACAGCGAAAGTGCACTTGACCTTAAACCGCGATTAGCTCACGCGTGTGCAGTCAACTTGCCAATGAATATTCAGGGCCTTGGATTCATCCATCGGTGATTTTTTTTTTTCAGGGAAAAATTGTCAGCGGTCTTCAATCTGGTCCAAGAGGTCAATGTTCTCGATTCGAGGGACGAAGCGAACCTTGCGCTTTTGGCTAGACCTGAGCTGGGGATCACTTTCACGAAGTTACATTGCTGGAGACTGACGCAGTACGAGAGATGTGTCTTTGTCGATGCTGACACTTTGGTAATTGATTTGCAGTCGCACAGGGAAAAATGTTTCTCAATATTGCAAAAGGGTTGTAAATATCTTCAAGAGAATTTTTACTGGATACTAGAAATATTTTCTCGCTGTGTGGAATTCAGGTGGTGAGGAATTGTGACGAGCTATTCGAACGTGAGGAGCTGTCAGCAGCTCCCGACGTAGGCTGGCCAGACTGCTTCAACTCTGGAGTATTTGTGTTCACTCCGTCCCAACAGACATTTGCGTCATTAACAGCGTTCGCAGCATCGAAAGGGTCCTTTGATGGTGGTGACCAGGGTCTCCTGAATTCCTACTTCAGCGACTGGGCACACAAGGACATTTCCAAGCACCTGCCCTTCATCTACAACATGTGTTCGACAGCGAGCTACTCTTATCTCCCCGCTTACAAACAGTAAACGTTCATTCCGTTCCTCAATTGACCTCATCCACGGGAATTGTTCCTTCATCGATATCTATTCTCTATTGTTTTGTACGAAGGTTCGGAGATGATGTCAGGATCATCCACTTCATCGGTAGCACGAAGCCCTGGCTCCAGTGCTTCGACTCCCTGACCGGCCAGGTTCAACCCACCCCAGGGACCCATCACCTCCAGCCCCTTCTTCAACTCTGGTGGAACATCTTCTGCGAGAGCGTTCACGGCCAGTTATCACCAGTCATGGTAAGTTCCCCCCCCCGAATAAATCAATTACCGTCTTTCAGCGCAGAGAGAAGAGAATTCTTATATCAAGAAAAAAAAAACACTCGTCTCAAAGAACATTTTAATTTTTCACTGAAATTCTTCGGAGGAGTGATATACATTTTTAACTAAAAATTTTTCGCGATATTGACTTCTAAAATAACTACAATATAACTTCAATTGAAAATTGAGAAATATAGATTGAAATTTCAAAATCAAAATATTGAAATGAGCGAAAAAGTTGTGTTTGAAAGATGTGCAGACGTCAGATTCTGAAATATTCTGGAGACAAGTGATTTTTTTTTTTTTTTTTGAAACCAGCATTATTTTTTTTTATGTGGAGCTACATCGAGTGATGATTTATCCTAGTTAAGATTTGATACATTGTACTGACAAAATTGGCCTGACAATTGTAATGCTTACCACCCTTTTACTGATTTCGCAAGCTAAGCAATGACCACGGGGACACGCGTTACCGCGAGGTAAGAGATAATTAAGAATATTCGATAGTTTCTCTAGATTCTCCTAGATTTTCTCACGATTAGAACCGCCAATTAGTGGCTCTTCGCACCGCTGCAAACGCCCCGACGAATTTCATTCATGTTTATCTATCACGTCTTATTCACTGTCCCGCTCTGGTGGGTGTCAAATTGGCAGGATTATACAATTTTCTAAAAATATTTTATATACAAAAACAAACTGCGCACCGTCGTCGAATTATTTCTGATTTTATTTCAAAATCATCGACGCACGGAATCAACTATTTTTCTCGTATTAAAACCGATTACACGCTTTTACGCAATTTCACGTTCGTCTTGAATTTTCGCTTATTGCGTGAATTAAAGATCGCATTTTTTTTATTTGAAGAATTTGTAGTTGAATTGGATTCTCTACAGATTGAAAAATGAAATGTATTACAAGTGATTGATGAAATCCATTTAAATTCTAAAACAAAATAGCTGGATGTACTTTGAACCCTCGTACCTCCCTCGAAAATCCCAACTGCTGATCATTCTATGATTTTTTGCGCATCATGCGACCTGCGTGAATTAGTACAGTACTAGTTAATGGTGTATTGGGACTAATGGGTTCAAGGTGTCCTCCTACTATATTTGTTTCACATTTCTCTGAGTTAATGAATGTTTCGATTCTGTGACTAATAGACTTAGTGTGCATTTTTTTCTGTTTTGGCATGACATGCTTGCATAGGCCAGCACAACTTTGGCTCAGTGGCACGATATCCTCCTCCCCATGTCCCCAATACCCATTAACACAAGACACCACGTCTTCCACGACGCGACTGACCGAACGACCGACGAAATTGACGAGGCGGAGCCCGATTTCTCGCAGTTCAGAGACCCCTGGGACGATTACACTCGAGATAAAGAATTAAATCAGCCTGGGTATCATTACGAGGGTCATAAAGACCAGTTTCCAACGCATCATCACACTTCCGTTCCCTCTGAGTCTGACCAGAGTCATTACCAAGGTCATTCACTTGTTGAAAATACTCAGGGGCACCAAGATGAATCTCCAGTTCACTTGGGAGTAATTGGGGATCATTTGGGGGCTGACACCAGATCCCCATCCCATGAATTTTCTCATCATCATCCCCAGATGCAAACTCATCATCATATTCATGAAGAACAAAACACCCACAGACATCACGAAAATCTTCAGTGTAAACAAGAATCAAATAATTCGCATAGTCAACCCCATCAGGACTCATCACCACCCAATTTTCAATCAATCGAATATCGAAGCCCTGATTGCAGTCATGAAGACAATCGCGAGAATCAATGCCACGAAGATCCCCTCAACCGATTGACAGATTTCCCTGAGCACCGAGAAAATAATGATTTCTGTCGAAATGATTCATCTCACCACACACCTGACAGATTGAAAGGTCAATCTGATGACAGTAGAGTCTTATCAATAGACGATAGCACATTCCATTTCCAATACCAATCCTCTCTAATATCCACAAGCACGACAACGCACACAGAGATACATTCCGGGGATGTTGACACTCTCGATGTAAGTACTAACTACGTGAATGTCATCAGAATCTCCCAGAATAGCCTTGAATCTCGCACTGCATTTTTCATTTTTGTTTGAGCACTTCAATGACTTTTAATTAATCACAGAGTCACGGGTCGATTTGACTAGTAATAATATTCTGGTGGTTTTAAATAATTTCGGTAGACTGGCATCGCGGGTGCACTGGCCCAGCTGACACTCGGGGAATCTAGGAGTCCGGAGCAAATCGCTCTCGAGGAGCACATGCGGAAGTACAGCTGGGAACAGGGGCAAATAGATTACATGGGACGCGATAGCTTCGACAACATCTGGAAGAAAATATGCACGACCATCGATACTGCACCGACGAAGGAGAAAACTCCACCAAAAGTAAATCTATCCGAATGTCTTTCATTTCTAGGGATCAAACAAAATTTGAGGAATAATTCAATAGCGAAGAAGCAAAGAGTAAATCTCTTTCGGAGAATGGAATGACAGCTGCTGGGACGTATTTTGAATCACTGAGAGAATATATCATAAAGACCTCAGACCTCAGAGTAGTAGCGCATCATTATTCAGTGTTATTTAGACACTGTGGAAGTACTTTAAGAGAACGTTTTATGTACAACTGTAAATTCAGTTAAAAATATGATGATTCTTTGATATGTATAATAAATGTTGTTCTTCAGGAAGTAACTCCTCCAGTGGATGACGAAAAAGCCCCAGAGCTTCCTACCACTGCGACTACAGTTCCACTAGCGAAGAAAGCGGGTACGTAATTTATTCAAAAAGCCGATAAACCAATTAATGGGAGACCAAAATTGTGCAGTGGCACTTGAAGAACTGAGAAGTTTGTTAATAATTTTGAGAAGAAAAGCCTACGATTTGAAAGCCCAATAAAAACTGAGAGAATGAAATTGAAGTAGAGATAATCATTGGATCGAATATGAAGTGCTGACAAGCCATTAACTTCGAGACAAATGCTTCAAATTTTTGTTTGTTATGGCATGTTTGAGTTTTTTGGTGAATATAACGGGTAACTAAGTGAGATTGACCATTCAAATTCACTTGCGTAGGACGATTATTCGGGTGGACACATTTAATTAAGTTTGAGTGTTTGAAACAGGAGCAGAGGAGAGCAATTAACAGACCATGGCGCCATGGCATTGCTACGTCTTGTGTTGTCGTTTTGCTTGACTGGGGTAAATATTTCGACGCTCATCGCTAATACCCAATGCTTGACGAATATTAAAAATGAAATATCAAAATAATCCAAATTACTCGTCCGCACTCATACACAATTTACATGAATTTAATTTCACATCATCAGAATATTCATCTGAATTCAGAGAACTGACTTCACATTTTCGGAAATCTATTCATTGATCAGTTCCTCATCGTTCGAAAATGGATTTGTAAAAATCCGAATTTGAAATAAAAGTATATTCACTCGTCCATCACATCGATTTTTCGAATTTCAAAAACTGCCTGACAGCGCACGATAACGAATCGATTTTCCCCGATGTCATGCTTCCCCGCTGTTCACATGGTGCAACCGCTCCTAACACATAAACCCACCTAACAAAAGCTTCAGACCATCTCGAAACTTGATGAGAGTTCACAAAACAGACTACACGAACTGCTCCTTAAAACCCCGTCATCTCAATTAACAATGATCTCTTATGCAGCTCTAGCTGAAGAAACTGCTCCAGAAGAACCGAAAAAATTACCCCAGGAAACGACATCTATATCCCTTGACCCCCAGCAAACGACCCCAACGGAACAACTGAAGCCGACCGAAAAACAAGAAGAGCCAACGAAATTCCCTGCAGGAGATTCCACTGGATCATCGACTCCGACGACTGAGCAGGCCCCCATCCCCGATATTCTCCGTATATCTGCAGGTCCTCCCCTCTTGCCCCTGACCGCTTCCCCCCCAATCTTATCCCTGACCTCTTCACCCCCAATTCTATCGATCAAAGAGGCTGGAGAGAAAGCCCAAGCATTAACAGCACCACCACCGCCAAAACCGAAATCAGAAAATGAAGAGCAATTGAAAAAAGAAGATATAAGAGAAACGGTAATCCCCTTGGGTTACACCTCCCCTACGACCTTCGAAACCACGACTTCTCTGAATCTCTCAGAGTCAGAGAAGACCCAGGACGTGCCTGAGAGCCCAGTGCCCATCCAGGTAGCCGAATCCGTTCTAGAAGCCGACATTAAAGAGTCCGTCTCAGAACACATCAAACCAGTGACTGAGGAAGCTATATCTTCAATTTCCGCACCTGTCCAGGAGTCTGTATCCGCTGTTGTGGAGACACTTGAGCCTGCGGTGCCAGTGCAGGCCCCACCATCCCTGGAAGCAGTACCCACTCAACCAAATGGCACAGGAGGATTTGATTCTGATGTTAAATCTGATGAAGATGCTCCAGGGATTGCAATTGTACCCGTGGTTGAGGCTGCACCTGCACCAGAGCCTCCAAGTTGTCCTCTTCAGCCTGGAGAAGCCCTCGAGATTACCTCCGTCGAAGAATCTAAAGTTTCTGAGTCTGCTCTAGTCGCTGAAGAAGCCCTCGAGACACTTCCCGAACCCCAGGCGACGATTCCAAAGTCATTGACCCAGGAATTACTACCGGAGGTGCCACCGCTGTCTTCTGAGCCTCTTCAAGACTCATCCCCACCCCGAGACTCTCCCGAAAAATCCCCCGAACCCGTTTCCGAAACCTCTGAGGCCCTGGACTCATCCCAAAAATCAGGAACCCCCGAGAAATTGCCAACCCCAGCGACTCCAACAGTAATCGAGGCAACGCCTCCTACAAGTCCACAATTGGAACTGTCTCAGGATCAGAGTGAGGAGGCGAAAGCCTCGAAGAAGCCTGTGAAAAAATTAGTGAAGAAAACAAGCTCCGAGGAGAAGACAGAGTCGAGCGAAGCCGACGACGTGAAGAAACCAGCGAAAAAAGTTGTGAAGAAGGTGGTGAAAAAACCGAGAGAGGGAGAGGAGGGAGGAGAAGGGACTTCAGAGAAACCGAAGAAGGCAGTGAGAGTTGTGAAGAAAGGATCAAAAGCAGGTGAGACTCTGCAAGCAGAATCATCAGTGCCTGAGACACCGCCACCACCAGGAGACACCCCAGTGCCACCGAAGCGGAAAGCAAAGCCAGGGACTACAAAACCAGTCAAGAAACCAGAGACCGAGCAATGAACAAACTGAGATAATCGATATTTTCTAAGGTTTTTTTTACGCAGCGTTTATATTAATGATATAGTCTTGTGATGGGTCGTTTCTTGGCGGTGTTCAACTAGTCTGTGGTTTTTCTTCGTGTTTTTTATTTACTACTACTGATTAATCCTCCGTTACATGCATCAGTGAATGGAAAAGGGTAATTGAAAGTTCCCAGCAATTCGCAGCAATTAAAGAGTATTGAAACAAATCGAAAGGGCACGTGTGTAACGATGGATGGAGTGAAAATTAATAACTCAGACCTCAAGTAATTTTGTCAGAAAATTCAGACTGACTATCTCAGATCAAAGCGCACATTTGTTTTGTACTAATCGATAAGAGCCCATTCAGTTTCTTCTTTTTCTATTTATGTACCCTAATACCGGAATATTTTTCAGTAAGAGATTTTTCGCACTTGCTTTAATTACCACTCTCCCCTGGCCATCCTAGGTATATTAATTTATGTAATGTAAGGATTTTTATTTCAATCTAGTGAGTGCTTTGGCCTGCCAAACCGAACACTCGTCGTTTCTGTTCTGAATTCATAACGTCAAGTTTGCAACGATTTAATAATGTTAACTATTCATAATAATTGAATATGAGATTGTTGATTGGAGTACGATGCATTCGCGAGATACATACGATTGAATCAATAAAGAGAATTACGTGCAAATTAAGTCTCGAGAGTATTTTGATTCACCTGGAACCTCCAGCTTTCGTGAGGAAAGCTTTTTCATTATACCTCTCTCAATCATTTATTGAATCCCCCGGGAAAGGGGACCAATTGATTTAAAATATTCATCCACTAATTTGGCAATTCTAGGAGATCGTATTCATTTTTCTAATAAGTCAAGCCCGACGAGGCTGTGAGAGCCTCTTTCATTTCAGTGGGGATTACAGAAAGATGAGAAAAATGGATATTTCGGAGATTGAAAAATATTTATGCTACTCGTGAGTAAACTAATCAATTAATTTCCCATCTTTGTTCTTTCCGAATTGAATATAAATAATCATCTACCCAACTCATTGCGTCCCTCCCAGAAATATCAATGATTACCGCCAAATATTCAGCCATTAGTGAAATTGGCGGGAGAAAAATTTTCTCCAGTTCGTAAATTCTAATCTCAATTCCGCGTCCTTGTTTGAATGCCTCAAGTCTTTGACCCGTGAAATGGGAAAAATTGGCAGGAATAAACCATTTGAAGGAATTTCTTACCTTATACACCCAGAAGACCCTCACCCTTTGGACATCTGCACCGGCCTCTGTAGACAGCACGACGTCAGAAGCGCGGCGAAAATTCTCCCTCCAGGCGTCCTTGTTTCTCCGGTGGTGCGAGAGCGATAAAACGACTTTTCCATCTCTCCCTCACTTGGTTCCTGGATACACTGGTCCAGGAGAAGTTTTTTACTTCCCTGGGTGTCCCCTCCACGGATTATTTCCGTTTGTAACAGTCACCCCCACTCTTATAATCACTGGATAAACTTTATGCTGGGACGTCTGTACGCAGTACGCGCGCGGCGAACTCCCAATAGCGACTGACTTCACGTTGTCGTTGCGACCCTGAAGAACCCGGCAGTATGGCCGCTAGTGCTGTGAGTCGCAGTAAGTGACAGCTCCGTAACAATTTACCCCCAACTGTGGACTGATAAGAACCCCGTGAATGTGGTGAATGAAAATGATTTAGACTGATCTGTGACTCGTTATTGGTAAAGATAAATCATGATTAAGGAGATGGCCGATGATGAGGCCACACAGGCAACTAATGATGATGCAAGTGAGTGTAAAAGATACGCTGTGCAACTAGGTTACTGGTCGGATCCTTTTATTAACTTTTTCGTAAGGCAAACCGCGCGAAAACCTCCTGAAATCAACCGTGGATATTATGCAAGGGTTAAAGGCATCGAGGTGTTCATCGATAAGTTCCTGAAGGTGAGTTTGCTATTTTTTTTTTTTGTTTTCATTATTGCGGGTGGCGGTGAATTATTGGGTGTCTGCTTAACCTCGAAAGTGGCGAGGGCTGTGGGCAGGTGCCAGCTGATGTCGGTGGGGATGAAAGAAGATCTCCGCGACGGAGAGGGGGTTGGGGAAACCTTGACCTGGTCGGGGCCCTGGCCTAATTCAACTACGGTTTTACCCACTTTTCGCTAGAATACGAGATATAGGTCAATGGAAAATCAATGACGTTTACTCTCCAGAGTGAATCTTGCTGTGGGAATTTATATATTTTTTTTTGAGTCGATTGATTGCTCGGAGAATTCCAGATGGACACGAGAATTCGGGGGTTGGTCGTTGGTTTTGGCGAAGGAGGCTGTTGGTAGGAATTTATTCAATGAGAGGGATTGGAGGTTGAGGGAAGGTATAAGGTAGTGGATAGGAATTGTTTTGATAGCTGGTGATGATGGGATTATAGTTGAAGGATGCGAAGAATCTGCTTGGTGGGAATATCGTTTTCAAGTTCATGAAAATTTGCTTACGTTTTATTGTCATGGACTTTTCGATTGCCTTTTGGATATGAAAATTATCAGATGGATCACAATATACAGATCATCAATGAAAATCTATTGATATAACAGGGATGAACTCGAAAAATAATCACAAGTTGATATTCGATGGAATTTTAAACACCCGCTATTCTGAATTTTCAGTCTATGGAGAATTCAATAAAATAACAATTTATTTTCACGGTATCAAAATTTTTCTAGCAAGTGTGATTGGTGTATGAGATGTGAATGAAGAATTAATTTAATTGCTAAGTTGAGGAATGTGGCATTTCATTGAACCATGAATCTCGCTTAACACGACAGATTCAAGAGGTTTCCTGTTAGAATTTAAATTAGCTGTATGGGAAATTCACAGGTAATTTTAATTGTAATTAAAAAAATTGGAATCGTGTAATTGCCGCAACTGGAAGTGAACTAGGCGTGCGAGGGCTCATTAACATTTTAATGTGTCTTGCAGTATTCCGGGGGCAAAGGGCAGATAATAAATCTCGGTGCTGGATTCGACACACTCTACTGGAGACTGAGGGATGCGGGCTGTAGTCCCCAGAATTTTGTAGAACTTGACTTCCCAAACATAACAGCGAAGAAATGCTATCACATTAAAAAACACAAGCAGCTTATTGACAAAATCAACACTGAAGGTAGGTTGATGTGGCCCAGGGAATTTTTTAAGCTAGTCTGAGTTTGTGTAGGTGAAATGCCAGAGGTCACGGTAATGCTCTAATTTGCAGATGGCGAAATAAAATTCTCCACCACGGATTTTCATGCTGCTAATTACCATCTCATCGGGGTAGACCTGCGACACATATCAGAGTTGTCGAATAAATTGGTACAGGCGGAGGTTGAATTCAATATTCCAACCCTTTTTCTCGCCGAGTGTGTACTTGTTTACGTAGATAGTAATGCGGCATCTGGTCTGTTGAAATGGCTCGCCGAAAAATTTCCAAATTGTATTTTTGTTAATTACGAACAAGTTAATATGCGCGATAAATTCGGCCAAGTTATGCTTCAGAATTTAAGGTGCAGAGGCTGTTTGCTCGCTGGCGTTGAAGACTGTGAATCATTAGAGACTCAACAAAGACGGTGAGTTATCAATATGAAGATATAATGTACTTCACGCACTTTGGAGATGAAAAATATGCAAAATCGATTGTTCCAGCTTTACTATAAGCGGCTGGCAGGGTTCTAATGCCTGGACAATGGTGGAGGTGTACGACTCACTGCCAGAGTCCGAGAGGAAGAGGATTGAACGCATCGAGATGCTGGATGAGAGAGAACTTCTCACACAACTTCTTCAACACTACTGTATCTCTGTCGCTTGGAATGGCACTATGTTCAAGGAGCTTTCCATTGCACAGGGTTAAATGTTATACGAGCAGAAAGAAAATCTCAAACAAGTTACTCCAGGTAGTGATTAATACAATCGAATGCCTCCATTCGATCTGGTAACGAGATGATTAATTACTCCTTTTTCCCATTTTTTTTTTTGCGCTCCAATTGTGATAACGATGGGTTCTATCATTGTGAAGTGAAAAAAATATGTATATTATATAAATATATTTAACCAGACTGAGATGGACTCTAGATTAATACGAATGGAATGACATTTGTATGGAATGAAGATAAAAACCCCATTTTGGTAATTGGAATTTCGTGTTTTTGGGATTTAACATTTGTTGAAGGTCTGATGGAGTTCTGTATTAGTGAGATTCCCATCAATTTTTTGTTATTCCTCTATTTTTCTGTGATGAAGGGTGAAAAGTTCAGGGACTGAATATCTCGAGAGCCTTGGAAGACGCAGCGTGTCGCCTCAGGAAATCATTGAAATATCTTTTTAAAAAGATTCTTAACGCGTTGTGAACAAATAGCAACGAAAAACTACTTAAAATGAAAGTAGAGAGAATAAATTCAGTGACTAAGCTGATTAACTATTATTAACATTGTATTGAGTAGTTCTGAATTCGTAATTATATTATGACAAGAAAACACTCTAACTTATGAGAAAAATTATAATTTAACTGCCATTTGTATTTACAAAGTGATCCTCCAGTTTTTCCATTTAAAGGTAATTTTTTCAATAGATATAACTTTGAATATCGATATATTCGATAATACTCACTGATAATTGCTTTCTGAAGACATCAGATGATTATTTTCGTATTTAGGGAGAACAGGGTTGTGGATTCATTGCAAACAGATCAATTATCCCAGCCTAGCCAACACGAAACCCATCATCCATTGAATTATTTTCTTAAAAATCGATGTGCACACCTGGAGTAACCAATAAACCAAAATTCCTATATTTTTCTCAGAAATGAAAATTAAACGTCGGAACCTGTCGCTATATTGTCAAATATTCGTAACTCTGAATTTATCTGCATGTAGTAAGACTGTTATACTTTCCTCACTGTTTTCGTTGTAAAACAAACGCGCAATTGTTCATTAATGTCGTCAACTCACACATTCACTTTAAAATTCGAGTATCAAGATCCATTGATTTTTCGGAGAAGAGACATGATCGCTCAAAGATAAAGAATAAATTATTGAAGTTATTCAGTCCTGATTAATTCATGTTGAAAATGAAGATAAATTCAATCAACGAAGTTGCACGTGAATATATTTTTTTTTATCCTTGCACCAAAGAATCTGCTGTCTGACAATACCACCGAATTAGATCCTCCAACTGTTCGATGTGTTCTTTTTTAATTTACGAGGGCAAATCCGGGAAAATTACGATTCCTTGGGCATTTTTCATTTATTATCAGAAATACTTCAGAAAATCGACACCCCTGAAGGAATCAATTTTGTCAGAAACACTCCGAAAAATTTTAATCACTTGAAAAAGGCTTAAATGAAATACAATAGTAAAAAAATAAAACGTTGAAAATAGAATCTGCAAAAATCGTGGGTAAACGTACAGAAAAAAATTTTCAACCTTGACATCAAAGGAATCGTAATCATCCCGCAAATTCGAATAATTGTGAGAATAAAATTTTTCAATATCAAATTTAACGTTTGAAGAATATTTTCCATTCGCTACAATCATTCCTAGCATCTTGAAAATTAAAGAAAACATTTCGACTCAGTTTCCCACTAGAAGCAACTGCAGACGGCATGTCACTTGTCAATCAAGTGTTCGATAAAATACTTTGGAGAAAGGCGATACTAAGCTTTACTTTCTCCGTTAATGCATGATAATTCTTCACCTCACTTATTCTTAACGAAATATATCTATAAACACTAGATATAACGGTGGAAAGAGTGGAAAAGTGTATAGAGATTTCGTGTGCTTCCATGTCAGTATAAATAATAAACAGAATGATCAAAGAACTAGATCTTGTAACGTTCTACGCATGCGATGGCTATTCTAAATGACAACAATCTCTACCACATTCTGAGGCAAACAGTAAACATCGTTGACCTTCAAATGTGCGGTATAAGTTAAGAATTATCAGGAACCGTTTCTTTTTCCCTCAGTATCAGTCGTAGCTAGTTATAAGAGATTTACGTCTTTGATCATGTACAGCCCAATTGTTCAAACAATTATTTTATTATTCTGTGAGGAAAAACAATGAAAGAAGTAACAAATAAAGACTATCGAATTCAAGAATAATCACTTTATTAATCAACTTCTCCATAATTTATCAAAAATATATAAATAGGATAGATCTTCTCAAAAAATATCTTACAAATTTATTTAAAAGTGTCAAAAACCTTTCAACAATCCCATTAATAAACATTGACTGCATTACCACAAATTTTCCTCCAATCACTAAGAAATCAATAAAATAATGACGATTTCCGAATCAAAAAAATCACTTTATTACTTTATTCCTCAATAATTTATCAAAAATATGCAACTAATTTAAATCCTCTCAAAAAACATTTATCAACATTGGATCATGGAATTTCCTCACCTATAGATAAAAAGTTTCCTGATCTTACAAAAAAATGAGAAAACTTATGCCTTCTTGGGGTAATAATAAAAATATTAATCTAGAAACTTCTCTTCTACCATCAAAAAATATTTTCCTTCTTTCGAAACGTGTGAATTTTACATAAATAATTAGTAAAGCTTCCTAGAATCCAAGCGGTGTATTCTGTGCTACCCCCTCAGCCTCACAAATATTTTTGGCGATCTCCCTGAACCTGGTGAAATTCTTCAAATACGAGTCAGATTTGATGATCTTGAGGTTGTCATCAACCCTGCAGGCAGCCTCAGCACACCAGGCCTGGGCCATGAGGAGTTCATGCTGTGCAGTAGGCAATTTTTCATCAGCAGCTTTACTGGCCCTGCTGAGGACAACAGCAGAGGTATAGGTGTCGATGGCAGCCTGTGCTAACCGATTCAAAACAAACTGCTCCTCAACGATTCCCTTCCCATACTTGATGAGTGCAGCTTCAATGCTCTGCCCATAGCTCTCAATGCTCTTTCCCACGAGGTTAGCACTGTCCTGGAGACTGGGATGCACCAGGTGTGAGAAATTTGGAGCGGAGCCCAAGCCCACCGCCTTGGTGGCCCTCTTGGAGACTTCTTCAAAGATGAGGCCAAGATTAGCTGTTGGATTTTTGAATGCCTTTTGGAGCTCCTTGAGATGAGCTCCTCCATACTGTATCCCGGTTAACGCCACAAAGAGCCTCAAAATATCGTTGGCCCCCTCGAAGATCCTGAAGATCCTCAGGTCCCTCAGCACTTTCTCCAATCCCGTCTGCTTCATGAAACCCATGCCACCCATTATCTGAATGGACTCGTCGCAGACCCACCAGGCGGCCTCTGATGCGAACACCTTGGAAATGGCAGCCTCCAGGTGATAGTCTTCACTCCCTTTGTCCATGTTCCCTGCGATCATGTAGCACAGGGATTGATCGACATACTGGAGCATCGCCATCCTCGCTATTTTCTCCTGAATACTTCCAAATTCCTTCAACTTCTTTCCAAACTGCACTCTGTTATTCGCAAATTCCACTGATTTCTTGATGCACGCCTGCATCGTCCCGGAGAGAGCAGCTGCCATCCCAAACCTCCCGTTATTAAGAATATTCATAGCAACCTTGAAGCCTTGGCCTTCGCCCCCGAGAACGTTCTCCGCTGGGATTTTGACATCCTCGAAGAAGACTTCAGTTGTGTTACTACAGTTTATTCCCATTTTCTTCTCAGGGGGACCGCTCGTCACCCCACCGAAGCCCCTGTCCACGATGAAGGCTGTCACTTTGTCCTTCGTCTCCCCTGTCACTGGGTCCTTCATCGGCACCTGGGCGAACACTGTGAAAATGTTGGCGAATCCTCCGTTGGATATCCACATTTTACTTCCATTTAGGACGTAGTGGGAACCATCTGACGATTTGACAGCTCGACACTTGACAGCACTTGCGTCAGAACCAGTGCTCGGCTCCGTCAAGGCGAATGCCGCGTATTCACCCCCCGTCACTCTGGGGAGATATTTCGCTTTTTGCGCGGGGGTCCCATACAGCATTATCCCCTTGAAACCAATACTCTGGTGCGAGCCCAGCATTATACCCACTCCCAGATCGTGCTTACCCACGATTTCCACGAGCCTCCCGTACTGCGTATTGTTCAGGCCCAGGCCACCGAATTCCTCCGGGACTTGAATACCGAAAGCCCCCAGGTCCCAGAGTGCCCGTTTCGTCGTCTCGTCAACCTCTCCGGTTTCGTCGTTTCTCACTGGGTCGTTTACCTCCTGTAGAAGTTTTTGTTTTTAATTTTTATTTTACGACCAGAACTTACGATATTCGGATCATTTTTATATTTTCTATTTCGAGTCATTTTTAATACATCTCACGCGGATGACAATAGAAACTTTAATGACGGGAAGAAAATATGAAATTATTCTGATCTAGGAACTTTAAACGGAGAAAGATAATTTTTCTCGAAATGGAATTTTTACATGACCCGGGGACCCGTCGAATTAATAGTCTTAATATTCTTTATTTTATCCTCATACTAACTTCGAAGAATTTCTCGATAGGATCGATGAACATTTTCAGAGTATCAGTTTGTTCCTGACTCAATGGATTCGGAAAAGGAAACACTTGGCTCACTTGCGCTTCACCTCTGAAAATATTCATCGTGAAGGACTCAGATTCTTTTTTCGAGGCCTTCGCGTCTCTCTCCTTGACTTTGACAGCTGCTTGTGTTGCAAGACATCTGAAACATAAATGCGAGAAATTGAAATAAAATTGCCACCAATAAAACCCACCGTAAATATTTGATTGATAAAAACCGCGTAATCGTCAATATCGTGGAACGCGAATTGGAGAAATAATCGAATGGACTCTACCCGACTGACAAATTGAGAACAATTTCGTAATAATTAAAATCCATGACAACAGAAATGATATTCATGCGCATAAATGACGGATGAGCAAGTTCTTACCTTGAGTTCAAGCTTACGAACTTGTTGAAGCTCCTGGGGACGTGGCCGAGTGCCTTCGAGACTCCGGTGATCATCTTCCTGGTTATTCAAATCTTGGAACCCACCTCCACTCGTTCGTTGAAAAAAATTATAATGTGCCGTTAGCAACGAACGGAGGCTTACTGATGCCGAATGACTGTGAGTTTCGATTGTGGACTTTGATCCGTCAAGCAAGGAGAAATCTTGATGTAGAACGTGAGGGACAGCGTGGCTGGTTCGTAATGGAATACCTTTTGAAACCTGGCTAACCGACAATTGATAATGCCGAGCTACGACAATCAGGGAAAATTTAAATAATATTTATGGATTAAAATGATATTTCTGCCTTCCCTCCGTATCCGCTTTTAAAATAATTAAACAATTTGAGATACTTCCCAAAAAATCGAGTAGAGATCAAGTCAATTAGTTAGACTTTACCTCTTCGCAGCAGTAGTCTTTGAGATCAATCGATATTTAACAAAATTGTAAAATTTGACTCACTTCCCTCTACTAATTAATTCTTGATTGAGCCTTGATTAAACCCTGACGGAAAACGAATTCGAGTCTCGTTTCACCCGTTGCTGAGGTACTTTTTTTCTTCTCGACAAAATCAATTGTTGCTGCGAATTGACAATCTGCATCGTTTGATTTAATTCTACGAATTCAAAGCGAATCGATTCCCTAATTCATTTAGAATCCAATAGACTCGAATCGCGGGATATTGCATACCACCGGAGCGTAATCTTGAGTTTTCGATGTAATATTTCTCCAAGTTGACATGAATGATTAAATTCTTTCAGCTAGATTTACCCTAATGACGAGGAATACTCAAGATTTAAAGGGCGATTCGAGGAGAAATACTGGAGAGTGATGATTGTCTGTTACGAAGTGAATCGGTTCAGTGAACAGAGGCAGCTGTGCCAGGAGATAAGGCGCATGTACACCCATACGAAGTGGTTCGTTCCACTAGAGCAGATCACGATTGTAAGACCTGGGGCATTTATTTTTCCCCTGGACCCCCAAAATATTCCCCTGACCCATTCAAATTGTTATCGAACTCCTCCGCAAGTCGACTCCCATATTCTCGAAGCCATGGGAACACAGATCGGATCCAGAGAATTTCGGAAGTGTGAAACTACGAATTCATTCACTCATCCATGAAATTTTCAATTTATCCGAGTCGATATCGCACTTTTCTCGTTCCCCACTGTGAGAGACACTTGGTTCTACTTGCGCAGCATCAGATCTCCAGTGTCTCTCCAGCCAGCACCACAACCATGACGGAAAAATCGGACCGAGTGGATCACCAGAGGCAGGTGGAAACCGCGAGGAAGGATATTCTGGTGATTCTCGAAAGAATTCAAGGGCAGGGGTTGATCTCCAGGTGCACCAAGCTCTGGCGTGCCTCATCATTACTCTGTGCCCCCAGGAAGTTTCGACTGGCTGGCAGGCATCTCCTGTGTCTGGGGCTTCTCTTCTACCTCAGTTATTACCTCGCTGGGGATTATTTTCTCGCTCATCAGCATCAGAAGGTGAGCCGATCCACTCCTCTGGGTTCTCTTTTTAATCGGTTTGCTCAGTGTCTAGTCGGGACTCCCAATGTGTTTCAAAGGATTTTCCGCCCCGCCGAGGACTGCTCCGTCTGTCAGGACGTTCAACAGGTTGAAAAACTCGCGGACGTTGAGCTCGAAGTTTTTGAAGAGCGGTAATAATTTCCAGTTTTATTTTCGGACACGAAAAAATGATTTTTCTCAGGTTTTGGAGTTCGTATCAAACAAGTGGTTGGTTCATTCTATTTTATTATAATTTATTTATAATTATAATTTATTTTATTTTCGGATAAAGTTAAAATAATTCAATATTCAAAGTTCAAATATTCAAAGATTAATCCGAGAAGTGAGAGAGACATTTTTTCTGTGTCGAGTGATTCTCCGATGGGCACCGATTTCCAATGCCGATTTTTTTTTTTTTTGAAGTTACGCGTATTCAGGACGACCCGTGGTGATTACCGATGCAACGAACGATTGGTCCGCAATGAAAGTTTTCTCATTCGCCTTCTTCAAGTCGCTTTACGAAGATCAAGACGCCAATTGTCAGTTTTTTCCGTATAAAACTGGCTTTCACAATTTGCGGGAGGTTTTCAATATGACGGAGGATCGAGCGACACTCAGGCCAGGAAGCCAGCCATGGTATGTTGGATGGTAAGTCCTTAGAAATTAATTATAGTAGAGGGAAATTAACGAAGCATTAAAAAAAAATTGATTCGACCCGAATTTGATGGGTGTATCAATTTTATTGGGGAGGAAAAATGCAATTTTAGGAGCAATTGTGATGAAAACATCGGGACAGTACTCCGCCAACACTACCATCGCCCTTACTTCCTTCCACCTCTGGCCGAGAGTGAGAAGACTGATTGGATTTTCATGGGAAGTTCCGGTTACGGGGCCCCGATGCACGTGAGTTTCCGTGAATCACACATTGAGGTAATGGCCTTACTGTGTAACTGAACCTTTAACTTTCAAAGGTCGATGATGTAGAGCACGCGTCATGGCAGGCGCAAATACAGGGATCGAAGTTATGGATTCTGGAACCACCCAGAGAGTGTCATTACACGTGCACCCGAGTTGAAGTCATTGTCAATCCCGGAGAGATAAGTACGCGAAAAAATAAATGAATGATAACGCCGAAACTTCATAATCCATAATAATATTTCGATACAACGATTTTAAAAATATAAATTTTTATTAAATTTGGAAGACAGAAAGGAATAACGACTTGGAATTTTCCGGACGAATGAAACGGAATTCTTAATTAGATTTTTTAATTCAGTGTAAATGCTCGATCTCGTGCTTGATATTGAAATTCCAGAAAACTTTTCATAATTTTGAAATACCTGTCCTGTTAATATAAGCTCTTCCCTTTTCAGTAATTCTGGACACAAATCGATGGTACCACCAAACCCGAATAATTTCTGAGGAGCTAAGCATAACAATCGGCGCAGAATACGACTAGATCCCCTACACTATCAGGAAATTACTCTTTAAATATCCGGAAAAAATTTAATCAAATTCTATTAATTCAATGTGATCCAACCCTACGAGATTTTCAACGTTAAAAATATTCATGTAATAATTTTCCTGAATTGTCAACGTCCTGAAAACTCACGTAAACACCGTATGACATTTTTAGAATTTTTAGAATAGACCAAAAAATCCATGCTATCTTCGAACTCCCAACGATCAATATCAACCTTCAATAATTAAAATGTATTTACCCTAATTATCCATCATTTGCGACCAAACAAATTTTCCGGGGATTCTCGGTAAGAAAAAAAAATGATTTTCCCATATAAATTGCCATTACAATTTCCGTAACTATATTATTTCCCCTGCATCTCTAACTGTTCCCAAAAATTCAAGAGTCCCAATAAAAAAAATGTTACAAAACCCTGAGTACGGAATTACAATGACCCGCATGTGCGTCACGCGGCGTCAATCACCTAAAAAAACAATGCTCCTTCCCCCGATTAGCAATCGACAATGCGATAATGAGAAAACCTCTCACAAGAAGGGGGTAACATGGGTTTCACTGGTATTACCCCAGCAACTGAGGATCTGTCCATTGGCCGTGACGTGTACGTAATTATGTCACGTGCCCATACGATAGTCCACCACTGAGCAAGGGGGTCCCCCAATGTGGTATCCCCTGGCTTCAATATCTAAACGTCCCCCCCACCAATCCACCTACAAGAACAACACAACATCATAATATACACACACATACGGGCGGATCTGGATACCTGAAAGAGGAAACGGTTTGGTGGCACGGGTCCCTCGCAGATGGCACACAAACTCACACCTGGCGGCAGGTGAGCTCATGGGCCCCCTCTGCTACCCCATACCAGATACCATGCTTTTTTGACCCCCCTATGTACGAAGGAGAAATAAAATACTGGAGACCTCCCTATGGCTCCTCACCATGTGCACGATCATATGTTCGACCTCCTGTTTCAGGGGGATTGTTAAAGATCCGACAGGCAATAGCTCGATTCATTCATGGGTTCGGATAAAATTCCAATCTGGCATCACCGTGGCCCAGTTGCTGAACGAGACTCTCGACAAAATCGAGTTATCGGAGATTATCGGGATCGATCGACTGGAGTCGGTCATTAACTTGATTTTTTTTTCTGTATATTATTATTATTATTATTCGATAATTTCGTTCGCCAGTTTTCTGGGACATTTTTCATGTGATTTGCTCTGAAACTCGTGATTTTTTTTTAATTTCTAGAACTTTCCAATATTCCATTAAAATTGACAGTGAATTGTTTGAGACCTACAATTCGCAAATAGAAAACCAGACTTTTGAATAGCAGAGCATTCTGCATTAATTAATACCCATTATTTATAAAACCACATTTCAGCGTTCAACATTTAGCCATGATTCCTCTGATTTCAATTAAATTAATTACTCATTGTGATGAATCATGGAAAATTAAATCAGTACCCAACAAAAAAAACGACTCATCTGTAACACAATATTCAATATTAATTATCCTCCATTATTTGAATATATTTGAATGAAGATGGGAATGGAAATGTTGTCTTCATGTTCGGGTGATGGAGGCTTCGATATAATTCTTCTGGTCCATTACTCTCATTAACTCCCATCGGATTAATCCAGCGATCCTGAGCGACGTCGATCTGTCCCAGTGAGCAGGTACGTTTTACGCGTGCTGGTGCATAATTATAGATATTGATTTCTGGAGGAAACCGACCTGCTAAGGGAGAATAGCTGTGACTCTCAACTGGTACCACACACAGTGACAACTCTGGCATGCGAGTGGTAAAGGGTGTGTGACGCCAGGAAGGACAGGTCTCCACGAGATTAGATTGTTCCGCAAATTGGTAAATCCATCGATCTGATCGAAAGGCGATCCCGCGCGTTTCTCACTCTTTGTTTACTTCCTCAAGAGAAACGTATTGCGCCAGTCGAAATTAATTTGGCTTCCTCACGACTTCTCTCCGCAAATGAAACTTGAGGAGCTTCTCGGTTTTACGTTGCGTTTAATAATCACGACAACCTGACACCATTAAAATTTTCTTTTTTTTCCTCATGACCATCCAAATCCGTGGCTGTCTGCTAAAGTCAAACGACTCCAACAGTTTTTCTACTTGTCAATTTAAATCATCAATTTCGGGAACATCTCCCGATTTAAGGGAGATAATTAAATTTCCATTGTGATATTTTTTGTGCAGCTCATAAACGGCTACAAAAAAGGCCATATCAAAAATGCTGTTATCTCCCTTTGATTTCAAGATCAATCGATGATTCCGCAATATAAACTAAAATCTGCTCTTCCCACTTCAACTCAAAAATATTCTTCCCGAAAAAAAAACGAACAATGAACTTCGTCCATTGAATGCACCCACCGAAAAAAAAAACATTCCAGGGCCATTCAATAACCCAAAAATGTCCCGGTAAACCCTTTTTACAGCCGATGAATCTCCGACTGAGAAGTGAGCACGAAACGTCCAGTATTCTCCTCATCCTCCAGAGAGACGGCCTTATGTGCTACATAGAAAACCCTCAAGTTGTATTCTCCGTCTCACCCTCGATTCTTCACATAGATCACATACATTTTCGTAGTAACCCGCGCATCACCACGCGCAAGCGGTCACCACAGTCTTCCCCTAGTCGGGGAAGAGGGGCTTCCCCGCTGCTCCACCACCCTCCACATGTACCCCAAGTCGCCCAACGAGTACATACATATCGGTCGGTCCTATCGATTATTTTCTCCATGTGGAACTTTCCCCTATTCCCTACTTGTTCTCCCTCCCCACTCGGCGTCGCGACGCCCCGGTATAGAGCGGCCATATCGACGTTACATCGTCGACTCACCCTTCCCCCCTATCCCACCACCCCGTGCCACCCCACAGCGCCGTGGGAACAATACGAAATGCCCTGTGAAATTATTTGGAATTTCAATTTTCTCCCTCAAAAAATACTCCACCTCAAAAAATTCACCACTTCCCGTTATCTATCGACATATGGCGATGTTTATCATTCAGAAGCCCCCCACGCCCCTCGCTTCATCACCATTATAAAATTATAAATTAATTCTCTCAGAAAGAATTTTTAAGGTAATTAAAATGGACGGGAAAATCTACATTTACATCGACGAGGCGAACATTGGCAGTTGGGCGTTGAGGATTCTCTAAATTCTCTCAGGGTGAATATTTGATAAAATATTGTAGCCCTGGGTGCACAGTATTACCCCACCGTCCCTGCAACCACCCCAGTATTATTCCAACCCCTCGCGTCGACGTCATCCCCACCCGAGGACCCCTTCGTATCGAGTTCGTTACAGATCCCCGTTAGGAAGATCGCTACCCCTGCCCTCGAGATTTGCGCAACCTCCGTTGTGCCATCGAAATGCGCTTTTCTTCTCGGCTTCAATCCCGAAAAGTCACTCGTTCACCACCAAGTTGAAAATTAAAATCCAACTCATTCCATAATTATCATCGAATTATCGATCCCTCTGGTATATCTCGATAAACGTGTAGTATACTCGATATATCGGACGAGCGGCTGGCAAAACTTCGAACCGAAGCGCGTGCGCTCGTTGGATACATCAACGCACCCAGACAAAGCGTGGAAAGTATTCGAGGGGGAAGAGTGAGGGGTACAGACAACCCCAATGTACACACACGTATGACGAGGGCACACAGAGGAGAGAAACACCGGGTTAGGGGACTCCTGGACGAAAAAGGGGAGGGGGAGGGGGGGGATTGAAGCGTCGCGCGTGCAGATACGTGAGTTAAGGTAAGACCTGGCGGCGGACAAAAAGTCTCTTTTCCCGCGATGCTGAGGCGAAGGTAGCGTCTGATATCGAGTGATAATCGTTGGTTATCGATTAGTGATTATTCTTCGAGATTTGTGCAACTGGATAATCGTGAAGATTGCATACAAACCCTAGAGTGCAGAGGGCTGTGGGCGCCACCAGGCTGTCATTGATTTACGTATTGACGTCTCTGACGGGAATTCGTGCGAGTTGGTGAAATCCAGGGAATTCATCGGCAAACCCTGGGAATTCTCGATCTCTCGGTAACCGCGAAACTTCAATCTACCGAAGAACACCGCCATGACAGTGGGGGGGATGACGTCAGGGGGAAAACAAACCCTCGGGAAGTGGTGAGGGCCGGCGAGTTCGAGTGGTCGATGTGACATCGAATTGGCCATTGATTCTCCATTGACGTTCGATTCCTGCGCGCGATTGTCGCCTGTCGCGATCGTTTCTGCCGTCAATTCACCAGTGTCGAGGATCAGAGTGAATCTAGTGAACAAATTGAACTGAGTGTACCAAATGGACATAGAGAACATAGTGACTACCGAGTATAGTGAATAAAAAAATATATAAATAAAGTAGGTGAGACTCGGACAATTATCGTCAGTGCCTGCACTCGTAAATAATTAAAAGTGAGTGGTTGAGTGACACAGGTGCCATAAGATCCGTGTTTATACTCATGGAATATCGGCGCATCGAGCTACAGCGGTCACGAGGTATCGGAAAATCGATAGAAACCTGACTGACGCGCCGTGTCAAGAGAGGAGGGAGAGGGGGTTAATGCCCGTTGGTAGGGGAAAGCCTGAGGATTTTTGGTGAAACTTTCCGTACCTCTCGAGGAACTGCGTTTCAACCTTCAACGACTAAAAATTACCACATGAAAGGGGTATCACCCCCTAGCAACAAAACGCATCGAAACAACAAAGCGCATCCGGAAATAACTCGAGAGGTAGACAAAATGCCGTGTGATGTTGCCAAAGGATATAACCATGAAGAAATAGTTTGGAAATAAAGGATAAAAGGTGGTACGATAATTCTTGGGGAACACCTGGACCAGCCGCACGCGTCAGACGTCCGTTGTAGGGGTGCAAAAGCCCAGGGTAGGAGGTGTTTCACGGGCAAAACTGGTGGGGGCAATTGTGTTTAAGGGGAGTAGAGTGAGAAAAGGCTAGGGGAAGTAGACGAGACGGTCCGGTTCTTGGGGCTCACGGGTGTCGTAACCGCTGGTTGTGGTACGTACTAATGCCGCCCCTCTTGCAAGTACTCTGTCTTTCTCGTTGCTAAACGTCGCGTTACCACACGTGAAATCTAGAGGGGCCGACGGAGGGAGAGAGAGAGAAAGAGAGACAGACACACACGAGGAAAAGGAAAAACCCCCGTGTGTTTGTGTATGCGTGTATGTGTGTGTGTGCGTGTCCTCACTCGCTTGGCGTATGTCATGGGCGCACGTTGGACGCCACTCTCGTGCACAATCGAGGATCGAATCGAATCGACGATCCTGAGTCGCGTCCTATTAACAAACGATCAGTGGAATGATTCAGTATTGAATAACTGGTACGAGAGCATCTGTTTTGTTGACGTTATGATTAATACGTGTTGTTATCTGAGTGATTTCGATAGTAGCTGTTGACCGAGAAGAGACCGGTGGTGTTTTTGTTATTGTGAAGTGATTGGCTTTTGTTTTTCGGCAAGCGAGGAATACGGAATATCCACGAAAGTAAGGGGACTGATAAGTGATTATTTGGGTGTTTATAGTAATAAAAAAAACTTGTGAAACGCGTGTGCCCGAGGTTAGGACGCCGGGGGGTTGGTGTTGTTTCGATAGAACCGGTGGTACAGGCGCGCGCGGGTACCTGATAACAGCGCCACCGGTGATAAAGAACTTGGTGGAGGGTTGGTGATAGATGATAGAGTGATGAAATGATGAGACGATGATGTAAGATGTGAGAGACATTGGTGGATTGATTGGTGGACGAGGGATAAAAGGAAAATAAAGGAACAAGGTATAAATAAAACTAGATGTGCGTAAATGGAAGGTATAGGGGACATAGCCGATCATCATCGGTCGCATAGCGAGCAATTGTTGGATGCGGTCGATTCACCAACGGCGGTGAGTACGCATGGCCGTGGGGGCGGCTCAAATGTTGCCACTCACAGTGGGGGTGGAAAGAGCAGTAGGGGTAGCAGGCATAATCAGCACCATCATAACCAACACCATCACCACCACCATCACCACCACCACCACCACCACGAGGCCAACATCAGAACGGGTGGTAACGGTGGAGGTGGGGATGAGCGAAATCGTAGTGGGGGACAGGAGCAGCAGCAAAGTGGTGAGGGTATGTCATCGTCAGACTCACAAAGTCCCGATATCGCGTGCGCGAACCTACCTTTGGAACTCCTCGCTGCTGGGGCGCTTGGCGTTAAGGAGGAGCGAGACCTCGCCGCCGCGGAGGATCTGTCACCCTCCCAGGAACATACGGATAGAACAAGCGCTAGGGAGTCACTGTCGGTGATTGTACCACCGCAGGACGTTGACGTTGACTCGAGGGACGCCGACTCGGAGTTATTGAGTCCCGGTAAATTATCACCAACTTCTGGTATAAGTGTGTCAGTTGCTAGTATGATCGACGCTACGGACTTCAGGTCGATGCAACCGGAGCCAACTTATCAGACACTGACATCAGTTGCCGAGAGGATGTCACCGCCAGGCTTTTCACCTGGCTCCTCCTACGCAACCCTTACACCACTTCAGCCATTGCCACCGATATCAACAATGAGTGATAAATTTGTTTATGCCGGTCACACGGCTGGCGGTGTTTCTGGTAGTTTTGCCGTTATGCAGAACAATGGTCTTGGGAATATGGGAATTGGCATTGGTAATTCACCCTATACGTATGATAAATTACCACCAATGGGCATGTCACCACCGCACAATTATCCGTCACCTGGGGCTGGATTACAACCGAGTCCGTTGTCACCACAGAGTGCTTACAGTCAGAGTGGATTAAATTCACCACATAAATCGGCGAGTCCTCATTATGAACCAGCATTTTTACCGAGATTACAGCAGAGTCCTGCTGCACTCAGTCCACCATCACCACCTGTTTCCGCGGCGACGAGTTTCGCGCCTTCCCATCATTCACCACCAACGTTGTCAGTACCAGCTGCATCACCACCACCAATGCAAACCCAATTGCAACAGCAATCACAGCAATCACAGAACCAACAGCAACAAACGATAGGACAACAGCAAACGATATCACATAGTCAGCATGTTCAGCATACGTCTGTTGTTATGAAGACAGTGTCCTCGGCGGGTAATGGTGCTGGTGAAGTTGAGGAGATTAATACCAAGGAATTGGCACAGAGAATTAGTGCTGAGTTGAAGCGTTACAGTATACCACAGGCTATATTTGCACAGAGGGTACTGTGTCGCAGTCAGGGTACACTCAGCGATTTACTCAGAAATCCAAAGCCATGGTCCAAGCTTAAAAGTGGACGTGAAACGTTTAGACGTATGTGGAAGTGGTTGCAGGAGCCTGAGTTCCAGAGAATGTCAGCACTCAGAATTGCAGGTGAGTTTCATCCCTCTCGTTTTTTTTTTCTACCTATTTATTATAACCGCAGCCGACGATACACTAATCAACACAGTAACCCTCTTTTTTTTCACCAACTGTCTCTATCCACCCTGTTCCACGGTTAAAAATAACATAGACTAGGAAAAAAAATTACTTTCTGCTCAATAAATTTATATGGCACAGGTGATTATTTTTCCCAGTTCATCTGAAAATATATTTTGAAAAATCGGAGATATCGGGATACTTGATATTCAAAAAAAATTATAAAACAGTCAATTTTCTCGCGTTTTGATTTTTGACATTTCATAACACAAAAAAAATAAAATCAATCAAAGAGCAATCACAATTTTAATTACACATAAAACACATGTTTCATAAATGTTTCAAGAATACTCACAATCCCCTGTTCTCTACATTTTTTTCAAAATATATTTTTCGCCGAGAGTTACTCCGACCCCTCGCTTCCCTCATTAGTAACATCCCAACAAACAAATCATAAAAAAAAAAATCAACACGCCAGGTATCTCACACCCAACGTGCCCCATGCTCCGCACTGACTTCGCATTTCAATCGTTCGAGTGAAAAATTCATTCACCCGAAGAGCCAAAACACCCAAAAACGGATGACGAGGACGCGTCCCCGACCCTCCTCAACGTCCTCCACCGAACCTCCCATTCCCACCAGCAATTCCATGAATAATTAATAAATCCAACCGGAGAAACCGAAAAATATGCAAAAGTGAAAACGAGATGTGGCGCACACGTGGTGTCCACGTGGTGAGGCGTTCCCTTCCATATCATTCAGAGATAGACGCGCGGAATAACACTTTTCGAATTCAACATCCTTCAGGGGTGGGAGGGGGGCAGGAGAAAGGGAGATGGAGTAACAGAGAGAGATATATAGAGTTCATACACCAGAAACCCTCCTTCGGCTCCCTTCTATCGCCGAAATCCCTCCGAAGCCCCCTTTGCCCCTCTTTTATCTACGTGAGCACAACAGCCACGCAGTATTGATCGTGGTCATGCGGTGTTATGAAGAGGACGCAAGCGCGACCTCGACGTTAGCGACGCCATCGCCATGCCGCCTGCCACGCTGCTGCCTCTGGCTTGCCGCCTACCTCCCCCTTTCAAACCCACCCCCCCAACAACCCCCTAGTCTTTTTCCGCTTTTCCCCTCTCACCCAGTTATCACTCGTATTCACTCTTTTTTTTTCTGAGGCCCCATTTTCTGTCTCTTTGCATCCTCAAGCCTGTCCAACCCTTGTCTCGACTCACCATGGACTCCGGCGCCTTCGCCGGGGGTGAGGGGAGGGACTCCGAGGCGCACATGCTTTGCTGCGTGTCCTCATTACGTTTTTTACTATTATTATTTATTTTTTCATTTTTATTTTCCCATTTCCCCGAGTCGAGGGAATCGTCCAGTGTTCGAACGTATGCGATTTGCCGGATTTGATGTCATTGAAGTACTTGTAATGTCAATTTTTAATGCAGAGATGTTGAATGACGATTTATTGACGAAGGGAATTGAATTCGTTGAGGATAAAAGAAAATTTTTCCCGAATTGGCAATTTTTTTTTCGCTGAAAATAAGCAACGCATCGACCTAATTAGGTTATCCCCTCGATTTTCGATGATCCTCCTTTCTTCGTCATCACATCCTTTGTTGAGTACCGAGAGGCCACCGAAACTCTAGCTCTGGTTCCCTCTCCGGTTCCCCACCGTCGGCTCCTCTGAATGCGGTGGGGGCTGGTGTACGAGGGAACGACAGTGAAGGGTAAAGAAGTTGAAGGGCTGAGACAATAATGCCCCCTCGGGCTGTTCATTGTTTTCGTGATTTTTTTTTCCATCTTCCTCCCGACCCCCGGAGGAAATTACACTCGATCGTAAGTGAAAAGTTTTTTTTTCCCCTGTCCCCGCAAGTAACACGAATCTTCAGTGCACGTGGGATTTCCTCCACACGATGAACAATTCTCACTCGTTATTCCTCAATAAGGCATTGTCTTTGTCCAGTGTGATAAATTCATTTACAAATAATCAGGTGTCTCGTGATACTCGTGCACATACCAGTGAGCTATGTCCACCCGTGTCGCGTGTATGCACCTACCGGTATTGATCGACCCGAGGAGGTCGAATGCACCAGTTAGCAAGTCAGGGACTAGACAACTCTTACTTTTACCGAGAAATAAAATTCCATGCTACTCGATTCTGTCCTTTTACCCCTTTTTCACCCCCGCGAGGATTCAATAATTCGTCAATCATTCGGCCGTCATTCGTCAATCATGGAGTTGGAGTTTTAATTTATTGCAATCTCCAAGTCCAGTCGAGTGACTTGCACCGTTCTTTCCCTCGATATAAAATAATGGACGGAGGGTGGAGTGGAAAACAATGGACTGAATAATTCAAACCATTTGGATGTTATACGTCTTGACTTTGATGTGACACAGTCTATGGACAAGCGTTACACAGACATATATCGTAACGCCGTGAGCTAGACCTGCGGTGCTACCCTGTGTCAGCGATGGACGTTACGTGCACAGGACTGGCGTAAAAATCAATACGAACCCTGTTTTGTCTCGGTTAAGAGTTTGTAGCCAAGTTGTGCTTCGGCACCCTCCAACCCCCTCAGCCCATCCAGTGCAAACCACCCTCTTAGGAAGGTGGAAAGACGACGAAGGTGGGGCAACAAAGCGGAGTCGCTGGGCGAGGGGAGGCCTTTGCATCAGAGCTATTGCTGGATGCTATAACATTCGTCTTCAGGTGGAAACAGGGGCTAGATAGTAATGTGCATAGTCTCCAGCCGTATGCAAGATCAATTATTCAGTCGGATTGTACGCAGTTGATATTCCTAAACTCAAAGAAAAGGTTCAACTTCCACTTGTTCCATTTTCTCGGGAATATTCGAGCCTTCACTGGTCCCCACATCATCTCCCTGACACTCATCTCTCTGGGATTCGACGTCGGTGGTAACCGCCAACTCGGATCAGTTGGAAATTTTAACGGATGAGTTGCTTCAAGGGCATCAGCCCTCCACATTTTTACTGTAAATCAACTGGGAAAAGAGGACTGAGTACAACTTCGAAATGCCTTCAGACGTTTTGTCGAATATCATCTTCATCGGTATCAACGGAAACTCACTGTCATCATTAAACCCGGATGAACTCTTCCGAGACACTGCGTGCAGAGGGCTCCAATCAATTGCATAACACCAAGGGTTCATCTCTTTGTTTTGATTTCGTCCCGTCCTCACTTCCGATATCCACAGCCCCCTCGTTTCTATCTCCAATGATTTTTTTTTTCTTTTTAAATATCAACCTGCTGTGGCTTGGTGGGTAGGCATCGAGCCGGCTCCAATTTAACATCACTGTCGGTGCAAGCTGATAACACGGCAAGACGACACTCTGGTATGTCACCCACCAGATAAGTCACTCTGTACATGGCTTTGTTGTTTTTTAGGTTAACCTATGAAATCACGCTTCAGGGACTTGGCCTCTGACTCATCGTCAATCCCTTCGTCATTTCGCGGCTACCACCCCCATCCCCTGGGTCCTGTGTCCTTCATTATATTAGTCAGCTCAGGGCCTCGCAATTCCTCCAATTTTTTTTCAATAAAAAAACACTAAAGACCTGCATGATATTAAAATATTATGAGCATCAATCTGATTTGAAGAAAATTAATTTCAAGTGGAAAAACTTCACGTTTTCTGAAAATCTGAAAGTTCCAGTTTTCTATGAAACTCGGGTATTTTCGATCTTCGAGGTAATTTGAATTATTTTTCTGATCGATTGAAAATTAATTGAACTTTACGCTCATCTTTCATTCTAGGCATTGAAATTGAAGCGTTTTTCGGAGTCTGAAATAATAATGTAATTTTATAGACTTTTATTTACAAAATGATAAATGAGAGCTTTTCGCTAAAATTTCATTCACATTGAATTTCTATAAGTCACAATTCAGACCCGATAATTTTTGTAAATTGTAAAAAATTGTAACAGAAAAAGTTGTAAATTCTATAGAATTTTCCATGAAACTGGAAATTTTACTACTTTTGCAATTCTTCCCGGGATTTACATTATTTTTCAAAAATACTTGAGGATTGATACGTAGGACTCATACTATTTTGATCTCTTTCAACTCGAGGTTCTTCTCCCTCCCACAAACACAGTAACACATTTGACACTGACAACAGTCATCTTTGAAGATTCTATGAGCGAAACCAACAACATCTTTAGAGGACTGGACATCGGCTGATAAAATCCTCAAGTTCGACAATTTTATTCACGGAATGTCAATTCTCTGCTTGCTATTCGACAAAAAGTGTCACGAAGGACGGTTCTAGACACTTTGTAAACCAAACGGATAGACAAATGCACCGAGTCATCGTGATGTAAATTAACTGCTCCATACATCGCGTTATCGAATATGAATTGAATACCGAACTTTTAAAATTGCCACTGACGCGCTCTTGATACTTGTTTATATTTCGCTGCGATTGAACACTGGGTTTTGTTGGTTTCCCTATTGTTTTCATTTAATTCAGTAGGATATCCAGTCCCATTCTTGTTGCCACATTCCAAAAGTTTTGACGTCCTGTTTTCTCCTTTATTTTTGTACCCGTCACTGAGTTCCTCAACCTGTCCCCAAATAATTTTTTTATCCAAAAAATTATCAACTGGACACTAGCTTTTTCAGTTAAAAATACATGATTTACCGTCATCCGATTAACACATTTTCCATGATTTCAATCTTATTGATTTGTCGATTGGACCTCTGTTTTCTCACTCTTCTATTCTTATTTAATTTCTTGCTACTGAATTAATCATCAAAGTATTATTTGTGGTCTATAATAAATTAGTTCAATCTTCACGAAATAGCGCGACACGATAATTCGCAAAATTTCGTTCATTAATCACTCGCGGATTAGATTATCGAAATGCATTAACACTGACTCGGCAAGTCATTGCTTTTACCCTGAGATGAATAAAAACAGATAGCGAGTTAATTTATCTGACTCGTCAATCGAATTTTCATGAGTTAAAAGGAATGACCTGTCATTGTGCAATTGAAAAATAATTAAATAAATGAATGAATACCGTAATAAAAACGGGTAATGATGAAGAGAAAATACTGAACATAGTGAAAACGCAAGGTGTGTGTCTATCGGTTTGGTTTTAGCCCTGAGTAACTGCTCTGAGGGCGGCGGCGACCCGGATGCCATGCTGGATATTCATCACCAGGGATCAGGAATCGACACCCATCACCAACAGTTTCACAACTCATATGGTAATATCAACAAACTCAATCATTAACACCTACCAGAGAATTTATTTATAACTAAATGATAATGATTTTTCTACCGAGCGTGATCTTCCCAGCGCGACTAGCTGATTTATTGACGTCTCATTAGTCTGATCTGCTCAAGGCATGTAGATGATCTAGATAATGTATCCCAATGTAAATAGCCCAGGGCATCATTAAGGCACGCCGGCCAATTTTCCCCGCCCAACATTTCAGCATTACGAGGATAAAAATCCAGTGGGGGAGGGTCGTGGGAAACCAGATTGACAATCAGACCGCGCGCACAAAATGAGACTTTAACCCAAAGTTATCCGCGAGTATCGAAGTCCCCGTGAAGAGTAATCTCGTCTTCTCTTCGTTTTCTCCCCGCCCTCCTCCTCGCCACCCCCTCCAAAATCTATCCAACGTTAAATTTCAATCCGTCCCAGCACAAAAGTCCTCCCTCAGACCAGGCAAAACGACACTCGGCTGGTCGACTGTTTGGTCCACACACTGAAAGAGCAAGATACCAGCCCATACATCCATTCTCCATCCCCAGGCCCTGGACCTTTTCATTCCCTTCACCCATTCCATCTCTTTTCCCTTCCAACTCAACCCCTCCTTTCCAGCCAATACTCCAGCAATGGATATCGGTTTGTATACGAGCGCGGGGGTGGGTAGGCCAATGTATATACCCAAGGCGCACCTAATTAAACTTCGTACCGTGCTCATTCGTGTGTTGGACTCTCTTCTCCTTCAGCTCCTCCTGTGGGCGATTCTCATTTGCCCGAGCATCCTATCCTGGTCCTTCTCAGCCTCAATATTTACCGAGATCTTGCTCGGTTAACTTCTAAGCATTTATCAAATCGATTCTCAAGTCGGGGAGAAATGCCACTTCTTCAGGGTCGCACGCTTTACAAGTCAATTTTACCGCGGGGACTCGGAAATTTTGAATTCAGGGGGATTTGCCAATGACCTGCCGCGCACTCTTTTTTTTTATCTCTGCTCATCGAGAGGAAGAGTTTATTGGTATTAAAAAAGAAAATTGGTATAAAAAAAAAGGAAATTATTTGATTGGAGAAAGAAAATTCTTAAAAAATCCATACTTGTCTCAAGTAAATGGATCATTGGGAAAAATCTATTTTTCTGTTTGCTAATTAGTTGTAAATAACTGATCGATAAGTATCAACGGTTCGAGAGTTGTGCAAATCCCATATACCCGAATGGAAAATTTCGCCTCGCGTGCTGTCAGTCCGTTCCCAGCTCTTATGTTTCCTCCCGGCAAAACCTCTCTGCGATCAGCTCCAGTCTACCCCCAAATGCATCTCCACATTTCCATAGAATATAAATTGAGGAGGCGGTGGAGGGATTGGATGGGAAAGGGAGTAGAAAATATCCAGGTAGTCGGGTTGCATGGGAAAACTAATTAGCTCTTCGGACTAATGTAGTTAATGGGTACGTTACTTTGAGGTCTTTGATGTCGCGTCTGTTAAGTATTCAGCTGTTACGGCTGCGGGGGGTATATTCTCCCCTTCAACCCCACAGCCACTATTTCTCCTACCTCTTACTATCACCGACTTCCGGCCTTGATGCACCTGTTCGTACCAGGTACGGCCAACTTGCCTTATCTTCCACCACTTTGTCAAGCTCCTTCTTATTGCCCGTAGTGGTAACTTCATGAATAAACTTGGATGAGTGCTCCCCAGTTTTTACTTGTCAAATTCTTCTCCCACCCCCCCACCCCAGGACTAAAAAAGAAAAATAACCGAGGAAAAACACGAAAGAGGATTTGGCAAGTTTCCCAGGAAATCTTCTAATAAGATCAATTTCTCGATAATGAAGTCGTGTACAAGTTAAAAACCAGAGAGATATCACCACCCGAATGGGTGAGAAAAAGAAGAAAATTGAGTATCAGACTTTAGGTTTAGGGTAAAGAGTGTTCCTCGAACCCCCAGACATTTTAAAACATCTTCAACTCGTCAATCTCCTCGGAAAGTCGATGGCTTGTGGTCGCATTTGCCATGTATAGAAAATCCAATTCTCCTCAACTCCAAACGCATGTTTCTAGGAATTGATACGTGTTCATCGAATTTCCAGAGTTGTCGAGGCATTTTAGCCGAGTTGGCATAAAGAGGGGGGAGGGGCAAATAGGGGAAGATGGTGAAGGGGGCGGGGGGATAATTGCTCTGATTGAGGTGGATTTTTTCGTGACAGTTGTCTTATAAATGCGGTTGAGTGGGCGGGGGGGAATAAATAGAGCTTCGGGATTTACTCTGTCGACGGTTATCGGTTATTCGGGCACATTTGAAATATTTGATACTAACCTATCCAGTCAGTGTAATCGAATAAATCCACAAATTAGCGGGTCTCCGTTGAGTGAAACCCTGTGGGGAGAGGGTAAAATCGAATGGATTCAGCGTTTCAAGCGACTTGGGTTGGTTCAATGAATTCCCATCCCCCAAACTCCAGACGATCCGGCGATAAGTGGTCCTTCCGGTCGTTTATTAACTGGCATCACCCATCGTCCAGGCTTACTTCGTCTGAATCAATGGATATTCTCAAATATTCACGTGATATTCGAATTTTACCTCGATTCTCGTTGCCACAGACTCGTACATTCTTATCGACAATTTGGTTTAACAATTATGGGGCCAGTGATGTCGCCATTATTTATAGAGAATCATTGTCGGATCTTCAAGTGACATGTGTTTCTTTTTTTGGGTATTACATCCTCTCCATTAATCTCCCATTCGAATTCAGAGACGAGAAATTCTGTATCGCCTTTTGTGATAGCGAGTATTTCGGATTATCTGGGGTGGAGGGGTTGAATCAGTTGTCAAATGTAGTGGAGCGAAGGTACTCGAGTGTTCTGAGCTCTCGATGTGTTTTGATAGATCGATTTTGAGGGAATAAATGTCAATCGCCCGTCGAGTTCGGAGACCTCGTACTCTTCGCGATAGATTTCTTCGGTAATCGGGTCAAATGTGTTTAGGTCTAGGGTGAGGATTCCGGAGGAAATTATCATGTGGTTTTTTTTTAATTATCATTTTACTAAAATTATTTCTCCGTTTTATTTATCTGATATTATTTATTTATCGGATGTTATAATATCAGTTATAATTCGCGCCGGTTAATTAATAATGGAAGAACGCGCGGCTCACGAAATAAAAGCTTCCATTTGGAAACAAAAACATTCAAACATAATGAAGTTTTGATGTTTTCATCCATATTTTGTGGCTGCTGCTGAAATTTTGATGAAACCAATTTTTCGGTAGTTAAGGGAGTCTATTCTTCAAATATGTATAGATAGGGATGATAAATAATTTTTCGGGGACTTCTCAATTCGATCCGACGAGTTAGCAATATTAGAAATTTTAAGTGAACAAAATAGAATTTTTTATAGAGAAAATGGACGTAACATTTGATTGCCTTGGTTATTAAAAATTAATGGACGTTTTAAATATTCAATGACATTCCATAAAATTTTGCATTTTATTTCTATAACGACTTCTAAAGTTCAATCGGTCGTTGGAATACCAACGATCGTGCACGTGAAAAATTAAGTGTTGAATTTTGAAATTGAATAAAAGAAATTATGAAGGATTTGATCTAAATTCAGTTAAATTAATTATTTTTCGGAATCCACTTGCATAAAGAAAAAGATCCCGTATTTTCAAACTAGATTCCTCACTTCTGAAAATTTTCCATAGTGACTTTTTTATTTTTATTCCCTCAAATGAATATAGGAGAGTAATTGAATGAGGAGGGGAGTGGGAAATAATTACGAAATCGGAGTCTTAATTTGAATAATTTTTATTAAACATCAATTAAAACAATACAGCATTAAAAAACCTTAATTTTCACGAAATCCAAGTGTCCCAAATTTTGAGTAACAAAAAGTTTATCAAATTTTCCAAGTTTTACCATTCAAATATCAGAAAAAATTCAATAAAATCTAGTTCAAATTGCACATTCAATTCGCTATTTAATTCCATAGGTTCCAATTGAAGCCCTAAATTTTGTGATTTGCATGAGAGAAAATGATAATCCCACAATTGAAAATTCAAATGACACTATGACTGAAGTTTGAAGAGACAGTTAAAATTTCAATGGTGTGATGGAATTATTGAATGACGTAAGGGATGATTCTGAACTGTAGTATCCAGTGTTGAGGTAACCCAAGAGAGTCTTATCTCTCAGACACGTTCATTATGTGGCCATTCTGGTGCACGAAATTCAGGCAGGCCACCCCTAAACCCCGGGGTGTGTTACCATGTGCAATTTAGTGGGCAAACCAGTCCACCAAATACACTAGTGTGTTACATTTAGGTGAAGTGAAGAGGGTGGAGGGAATGTGTGGAGGTCTCACTCATCTCTATCTCTCTCCAACACCCACTCCATCGAGAGGAGTCGCCTTTGTAACGTAGAGCATGTAACGAGTTTCCAATAATGGCTCAGCTGCGTCCACCCTCGACATTGTGGCGAACAATTCGGTCGTACCCGCAGTCTGTCGAGGTGTCTCAAGTCGTTTTTAAGGAACAACCGAGTCCTTGGATTCTTCAATCCTTCCACGGAGGGAGTGTAACCTGGGGGAGGGATCTAAGGTGTACGTCGGTGTTGAGGCATTCTTTCGTGAATTTATGGGGAAAACGTGGCTCGTTCATCTTAGGATGTAGGACTCTCTCAGTTGGACGCGGTGTGTTCTCAAGGGTCGGTACATATCGATTTCCACTTTGCTGTTAACACCCGGAACAGGTCAGGTCAGTCCCACCGCAAACGCGTGCTTTTCATTAATACTCGAGGAAGATAAAGTTGGGATGATTGGCCGAGCTGTTTTATTGTTGTCTTCATCAATAATTAATCCGCTCTCGCTCCAACTTCTGCTTGTAAATGAGACTTTAAATTACTGAGAAAGTTATTTCGTATTGTTAATAACTCATTTATAACTCATTCATTCATTTATCCTAGAATCTCATGAAAAATTTGTCATTTAAATTTCATTCGAG